TTAAATCACTGCCCTGACCTTTTTGGTAGCATTTCCACACTGTAGTTGAATTGACAGTTAGTCTGCCTGTCCCATTACATTATATGCTTTATGTAGACAGAGACTCTGTCTTCCCTTTCATTGTATATTCAGTGCATTTAGTGTTTTGAACATGTTCAGTTTTTCTCAAGCTGAAGAAAAAAATTCAAGCTTCTACTTGCAATATTGAAAGATTCTATGGGAAAAATATTGAATGAGGCAGAAGGCATGAAAAGATGATGGAAGGAATACACAGAGTCACTGTACCAAAAAGGAATGATTGACATTCAGCTGTTTCAAGAGGCAGCATATGATGAAGAGCCAATGAATAAGAAGGAAGAAGCCCAAGCTTCACTGAAGCCACTGACAAACAACAAATTTCCAGGAATTTGATGGACTACAAATTGAAATCTTTCAACAAACCGAGGCGAAACTGGAGGCATTGATTCAACAATGCCCAGAAATTTGGAAGGCAGCTACTTGGCCAACTGATTGGAAGAGAATAGAAAATGGAAATAACTGAACAATATCATTAATACCACATACAAGAAGTCAGACTCATAGCGACCCTGTATAGGGTTTCCAAGGACTCTAACTACAAGGCTGGTGTTTCAAATTCACCAGCAGCTCCTTGAAAACCCTATACAGGGTCGCTATGAGCCCAAGCCAACTTGATGGTACTGAACTACAACAACCAAGAAAAAATCTATATTTTTATTTCAAATTGAAATACTGCCATGTTAATATAATATCTATTTTAATAAGTGTATACCTTCTTCTTTGACTTTTTTCTGTTCTGCTCAAGTGTTTTCTGTTTTCTCCTCTGGTGTGTTAATGCTGTAGCTTCGCTACACTCAAAAGGAAGTTTCAGAGTCTCTTCTGGCATCCATTTTAGTTTTTTCTTTCATTCTTGTCTTTCTTGTGACCTTTGGCATCCATTCTGTGTGATGTTCTTGATGTCATCACACAACTCTTACGGTCTTCAGTCATTAGTGTCTAATGCATCAGATCTATTTTTGAGATGATCTCTAAATTGAGATGGGATTTATTCAAGGTCATCTTTTGTCTCTTTAAAATTTGTTTTAATTTTCCCCAGCTTCAGCCTGAACTTGCATATGAGCAATTGGTGGCCTTTTCCACAGTACCCCTGGTCTTGTTTTGGCTGATGATTTTGAGCTTTTCTATCATAGCTTACCACAGATGTAGTCAGTTTGATTTCTATGTGTGCCATCTGGCAAGGTCCATGTGTATAATTGTCTTTTATGTTATTTTTTAAAAAAGGTATTTGCAATGAATAAGCCATTGGTCTTGTAAAATTCTATCATGCAATCTCCAGCATAGCTTCTATCACCAAGGCCATATTTCCAACTACTTATCCTTACACTTAACTTAAATATACACATATAATTTAACTAAGATCAAATATCAGACAATATGTTTAATTTTATAAAATAATGCCAATAAAAAAATTGGCTTACATTTTCAGCAGAGCTCTAAAAGATGTTGAGTACAAGGATTGTTAAAGAAAATGCTTTTAAAATTGACCAAGTTAGCCTTATATGTTATTCTACTAAGATATGAATGTCTAAGAAACGATCTCACTAGAAATATAAGGAAAAGTAAAAAATATAGGTTCTGCAGCTTTTGTCTCCATCAGAGTAGGGAAGAGTACGGCAAAAAAGTACATGAGAATGTCTTCTAGGATCATTGCCTATTAATTTAGTACACTCTAACTTAACAGACTCAATCTTAACAAGTTACTTAAGTGTAGATTTTCACAGATGAAACTATACAAAATTTCCATCAGAAACATTGTTAGTGTTTATGTGCTTTCCCTGAAGCTGAGAAAGCAAAGTAATAAAAACAGAGAAACGTGTCCCATTAAGACAAAAAGTAGCCCCACTGGTATAGTGATTAAGTACTCAGTTGCTAACCAAAAAAGTTGAAAGTTCAAATTCACCAGCCATTCTGCAGGAGAAAAATGTTGAAATTTGCTCCTGTAAAGATTTCAGCCTTGCAAACCCCGTGGAACATTCTATAATGTCACTATGAGATGAAGGGGCTTGACACCAACAGGTTTTTTTTGTTATTGGGCTTTTGGGGTTTCAGTATTAAGACAAAAATGTATTCATTTATTCTAAACTTACCATCTGAAAATGAGATCACCTGAAGAACAGATTTGATACATTAAACACTAAAGACCGAAGACCAGAAGAGTTGTGGGATGACATCAAGGACATCATACGTGAAGAGAGCAAAATGTCATTAAGAAGACAAGAAAGAAGGAAAAGGTTAAAATGGATGTCAGAAGGGACGCTGAAACTTGCTCTCCAGTGTAGAGATGCTAAATCAAATGGAAGAAATGAGGAAGCCCAGGAGCTGAACAGAAAATTACAAAGATCAGCTCGAGAAGATAAAGCCAAATATTTTAATAAAATGTGCAAAGATCTGGAATCAGAAAACCAAAAAGGAAGAACATGCTCAGCATTTCTCAAGCTGGGGGAACTGAAGAAAAAATTCAAGCCTCGACTTTCATTATTGAAATATTCTCTGGGCACATTTTTGAATGATGCAGAAAGCATCAAGAGAAGATGGAAGGAATATTCAGAGTCACTGTACCAAAAGGAAATGGTTAATGTCCAACCATTTCAAGAGGTAGCATATGATCAAGAGCCAATTATACTCAGGGAGGAAGTCCAAGGAGCATTGAAGGAACTGGCAAAGAACAAGGCACCAGGAATTGATGGAATACAAATGGAAAGCTTTCAAGAGGCACTCACTCATCTCTGCCAAGAAATTTGGAAGACAACTATCTGGCCGACTGATTGGAAAAGATCCATATTTGTGCCCATTCCAAAGAGAGGTGACCCAATGGAATGTGGAAATCATAGGACAATCTCTTTGATATCTCAAGTGAGCAAAGTTTTGCTAAAGGTAATACAGAAATGACTACAATCATACATTGACAGAGAACTTGCAGAGGTTCAAACCAGATTCAGAAGAGGCTGTGGAACGAGAGATATCATTGCTGATGTCCGATGGATCTTGGCTGAAAGCAGAGAATATCAGAAAGATGTTTACCTTTGCTTTAATGACTATGCAAAGGCTTTCGATTGTGTGGATCATGACAAGCTATAGACAACATTGAGAAGTATGAGTAATCCGGAACACTTAATTGTGCTCATGAGGAATCTGTACCTGGACCAAGAAACAGTTGTTCAAACAGAACATGGGAACACTGAATGTTTTAAAATTAAGAAGGGTGTGTGACAAGGTTGTATTCTTTCACCATACTTATTCAACTTGTATGCTGAGCAAATAATACAAGAAGCTGGGTTATATAAAGAAAAACGTGGCATCAGGATTGGAGGAAGACTCATTAACAACCTGTGATATTCAGCTGATACAACCTTGCTTGCTGAAAGTGAAGAGGACTTGAAGCATTTACTGATGAAGATCAAAGAGCACAGTCTTCAGTATGGATTACATCTCAATGTCAAGAAAACAAAAATCCTCTCCACGGGACCAATAAACAACATTTTATCAATGGAGAAAAGATTGATGTTGTCAAGGACTTTATTATTCTTGGATCAACTATCAACACTCATGGAAGCAGCAGTTAAGAGATCAGACGACATATTGCATTTGGCAAATCTGCTGCACAGGAACTTTTTAAAGTGTTGAAAAGCAAAGATGTCAGCTTGAGGACTAAGGTGCGCCTGACTCAAGCCATGGTATTTTCAATAACCTTATATGCATGCAAAAGCTGGACAGTGAATAAGGAAGACAGTAGAAGAATTGATGCCTTTAAACTATGGTGTTGGAGGAGAATACTAAAAGCGCCATAGGCTGCCTAAAGAACCAATAGATCTGTTTTGGAAGAAATGCAGCCAGAGTACTCCTTAGAGGTCAAGATAGCCAAACTTCATCTCTTATACTTTGGACATATTGTTAGGAGGGAACAGTCGCTGGAGAAGGATATAATGATTGGTAAAATGGAGGGTCAGAAAAAAAGAGGAAGACCCCCAACGAGATGGAATGGCCAGGTGGCAGCATCGATGGACTCAAGTATGGCAACAGTAGTGAGGTTGATCCAGGATTGGACATTGTTTTGTTCTGCTGTGCATAGGGTTGCTATAAGTCGGTGCCGACTCGATGGCACCTAACAACATAACAACAACAAAATTTCTCAGAGTCTGTAAGACAAAGGAACTTGGCATAAATAGTAAAAAATATTGATGTTTCTCAAGAGTATACTATGAAATGCAACCTATAGACACTCGGGGCAGAAACAAACTGTAAGCTGACAATATGACAAAAAAGTTGTCATTGGTCGTCTCTATGTTAGAAAAATATCAATGCAGGGGAGAAATGAAACATTATAGGTAGGTACCTAAAACTGTTTGGTCAGATGGAATTTACTTCAAGTCATCAGCCACTGAGTCTGATCTTATCATCTTATTCAAAAGTCAGGTCAATCCTTGAGACAACAAAGTGATGAAAGAGGAGGAAGAGGAGAGCACATTGAATTAGAATAGGTCTGGAGTAGAGATTAAAACAGACTATTTCCCTGAACAAAAACTAGGTAGACAAGAATTCTTTATAGACAGTTTATAACACACCATATTATAAAAACATAGCTATCTGCAAGACATGAATGTCCACCTGATGGTCCTAAATCAATACACAGACACCATCTTCCTTCCTCAGAGACCTCACTCCTGAAATTCCCTCTTCAAGAGTTGTTCCACACCAATTGAATTTTACCAAGTAGAAGAAATAAAATTACTCAGCCTCTGTTTCCATAGCTTCTGTCCACTTCTCTTGAGTGCTAGCCATTCTTCTCCATGTTTCCACCAAAAGTATTAGTGGATCTACTAGGTATGAATGTTTTGTACAACGGCTGACCTTAGTCTTCCTTCCTTTATTCCTTCTGCTCTTAGAATTAAAAATGGAATAAGTCGTTTTCAACACACTATTACCTTGAATACTTCTCTTGAAGAAGGCCTTACAGCCCTCACAGGACCAGACTCCATAATGGTACCCTGAGGCATAGTCACAGCACACTGCACAGTAGCGAGTTTCCTTGGCAGATTCCATGGTCATGTTTCCCTTGTCACCAGTACTAGCCAATCTCTCTCTGCCACCCTGGCGCCGGTTATCTGAATTGGGCCTGGAAAAGAAAAAAAAAAAAAAGTGGAAGAAAACAAAACAGAACAACAACAACAACAAAAGAATACAGTGAACCCACTAACACTGGAAAAGCAAAACACACACGCTGCTCTCTAAAGAACAAGAGGCTTGGGAGATGTGGCTGCTCCATTTATTCTGACATTTGAAATAATGAATCATAATGTAAGCTAATCTTATGTTACCTCTTGTTGCAGCAAAAGGTGTTTACCTATTATTTTAACCTTGAAGGGGAAATTGTTTATTGCAAACTTGCTTTAAAAATGGAGTCCCTACACCAGAATATATTAGTCAGGATTTATTCAATGACAAAATGAAATTAGCTAGATTATAACAGATATATTCATTTTCTCAGGGATTCACAATTAATTCAGAACCATTAGGGACCAAACCTTATTCCAATTCTAGGCCACACTACAGGTCTGTTGGGAGCAGAGACAAAACATAAAACAGATGGAGCATTGGAAACTCAGATGAACTGATGAGCAATGTAAAGCAAAAGTAGAAAGACAGCAATTCAAATATTTATGCCCTGGATATCAGTGCGAACAATTCTTCAATATCCAGTATTTTAGAACACGCAGACTGAGAAGAGTGAAGGGCATAGATAGTTGCAATGATCTCTGGAGATATACTAGAGGAAACCAACCTCCCAAAATGCAATAGAGAGTGAACAGTTACAAAGTTCTAGAAGAACCATGAGAATTGGAAGTTAAAAACTTAAGGAAGTAGAAATCTTTCAAAAGGAGAGTGATTGATTGATAGTTCCAAAAGGGTCAGAGAGGTACAACAAAGCAAGGATTGATAAAGTAAAGTCAGAGTTTGCAAAGAGCAAGGAATTCCAGTAAAGGGGTATACGCACAAGCCAACGTTCAAAAGAGTGAATGGACTTTAAGACTAGTGAAGGGCATTCCTTTCAGAAGTTGGCTGAGAATGGGAACAGCAGGAGAGAGAACAGTAGCATCTTAATCTAAAGAGAGTGGAAGAGAGTCTGAGACAGCCTCATATAGACTGGAGGGAACTGGCCTAGAGTCAGTGAATGGTTGATGATATAGAGGATGTTGGGTTTTGTTTGTTTGTTAGGTGTCATTAAGTTGGTTCAGATCAATTGTGACCTTACGTACAACAGAACAAAACACTATCCAGTCCTGCACCAACCTCACAAACTTATCAGGACAAACATATTGGTCAGGTCAAAGGACTAGAGGATTTTACAAAATTTATGAGATTTTACAAGGATAAATAAATTAACAAACAAACAAAAGATATAGGAGTTCTGGTGGGTGGTTAAGCCCTTGACTTCTAACCACAAGATCAGTGATTCAAACCCACCAGCCACTTGGCAAGAGAAAGATGTGGCAGTCTGTTTCCTAAAAGATTAAAACCCATTTGTTTTGAGTCAATTCCAACTCATAGGAATTTTATAGGACAAAGTAGAACTGTCACATAGGGTTTTCAAGACTAAATCCTTATGGAAACAGACTGTCACATCTTTCCCACTGGAGTAGCTGGTGAGTTCAACTATTGGCCTTTGTATTATGAGCCAAGTGCTTAACTACTGTGCTACCAAGGCTCCTCCCATAAAGACTTCAGCCTTGGGAACCCTATGAAGCAGTTCGACTCTGTCCTATAAAAACACTGTGAGTTGAACTGAGTCAAGGAAAACAGGCTCCCAGGTTAAGATGAGAGATATTAAATTGACCACAATCTGTCTGTCAGTTTGTTGTGCTATAGTGGTTTTCACGTTACTGTGATGCATGTTATTCAGCAGAGTCATGGTGGACAGGTTTCAGTGGAGCTTCCAGATTTAGACATACTAGGAAGAAGAAGACACAAACTACTTCTGAATGTTTAACCACAGAAAACCTTCTGAATAGCAACAGAAAACTGTCAGATACAGTGCTAGAAGATGAGACCCTCAGGTTGGAAGGCATTCAAAATACAACTAGAAAATAGCTCTCTTCTCAGAGAAAGGATGACTATGATGACAAGAATGGAGTAAAGCTTTTAGCAACTTCATTTGCTGATGGGGTACACCTCAAAAGGAAGAGAAACAGCTAAAAAAATATCCATTAATAATCAGGAGCTGGAATGTACAAAATATGAACCTTGGAAAATTGGAAGTTGTCAAAAATAAAATGGAAAGGGAGTGGGACTTGATGGCAGATAGGGTAGAGGTGTAGTGAAGATTTCTGTCAGCAATGCCACAGAATACCAGATGAAGTGGGTTCAGGAGAGAGCTCCAAAACTCTGAACCACATAGGTAAGCATATTTAAAATTTTTTGAAGGCTTAGAGCTATTGGAACTTTTAGCAGATGTACGAAATCTCATACTCTAGAATCTGCCGGGCTCAACAGCCCAGAGCTGACAACATGGGTGAGACCAAACAGCAAGACCAAGCAGGGGAGCAAGGAGACATGCCAGGAATTAATGACCACGGGAACATCGGCGCAAAGGTGACAATATGCTCTGTTTGGTTTTGCTTTGTTCTGATTTTTTTTTTTTTTTTTGTATCTGTTCATTGTCCTCTAGCTGTCTGTGCACATCCATTCTGGTGACTAGAGGGGTACCTGAGCTAGTGAACACCCCCACCCCCACCACTGGAGGGTTTTTCCACCATGCATACGCACAGATCCTCTCAGCATTTAGAGGGACTTGCCTTTCTCATTTGTTGAGTGCCTTGGAGTCTGTTCTGGCTCATAGTGACCCTGCACAGGATTTCTGAGGCTGTGAATCTTTGCGGGAGCAGAGAGCATAGTCTTTGTCCCATGGAACAGCTGGTGGTTTTGAGCTAATGGCCTTGGGCTTGGAGGCCCGATTCATAACCACTACGTTACAAGCAGGCAGCTCAAAATGGCACAGCCAGCCCTGAACTGTTTATTAATAGGGAAAAAGGCCAGAACAAGGGTTGTGGAGAGGGAGAGAGTTTAAAAACAAAACAGGCCAAAAATAAAATCCTGAGGTACAGGATGACAATAAACAGTGGCATCTTGAAATTTATCAGATGGCCTTGAAGGCAAGAAGCTGAAAGAAGACATTAAAGTCATACTCATATTCGGCTACAGATTTTCTTTCTTTCTTCCTTCCTTTCTTCTTCCTTCCTTCCTGCCTTCCTTTCTTTCTTTCTTCTCTCTCTCCTCTCCTTTTCCCACAATGATAGACTAGAGTATCCAATGAGGTTTTTTGCTTTGTTTTTTGTTATTTTTTTGTTCGGTTCTGTTGTATTTTGTTTTTATTCCTCCTTTTACCTCTAGGGGGCTCTTTCTCTCCCTATATTACCCAAGAAGAGACAGTAATTGCTGCCATGAAGTTAAGATACAATCACACCAAATTAAGCCCCACAATCCAGGCAAAACCAATACCAACTGCCATATACCAGGGAGGCAGATAACACCTGCGAAAGTTACTCTGAGTTAAGCAATATGAAGAGTGAAAAGGGAAGCCTACCTCCTAATCACATCTACCTGGAGGGAATAAGAAAGCATAAAAAATACCAAAACACACACTCAATTAAGTATTAAGGCCACAGATAAATACTAAACATATCCAAAAAGCAAAAACAGATAAACATATCAGCACACATCCAGAAACAAGATAAAATGTCTGAGACAAATAACCTAGAGGTAGACCTGGACTACATTATGGAAGGAGGGCAGGCCTTCGAAATGCCTGAGAAGGAATTCAGAAAAATTATTATAAAATATTTCAAAAACACTTTACAATGGAGTTGAGAAAATTAAGGAAGAAGTCAGGTAAGTGCTACAGGATCAATCAGATAAGCTAGATATAGCATTGTAAACAATTCAAAACCTACAGAAAGAGGATCAAACAATAAATAATAGAATATCAGAAATAGACAATACACTGAAAGGGCAAAGGAGTACAATTGAAGAGATGGAAGGCAGAACTAGTGAACTGGAGGACAAATGTCTCAATACCACTAAGATAGAGGAGCAAGAACAAAAAAAACAAAAACAAAAGGATAAAAAAATCCAAAGAAGGTCTAAGATGCATGTTAGACAACATGAAGAGGAATAATTTAAGAATTATTGGCATTCCAGAACACAAAGAATCACACAAGTCCACAGAAGGGATAGTTGAGGAGCTTCTGGAAGAAAAATTTTCTAACATCCTGAAAAGTGAAAAGATAAACATTCAGGAAGCTCAACAAACCTGAGAAAGGATAGATCCCAAAAGAAAATCACCGAGACGTATCATAATCAAGTTCTCCAAAATCAAAGATAAGGCAAGAATCCTGAAAACAGCTAGGGAAAAGAGAAGTGTTACATACAAAGGCAAACAAGTCAGATTAAACTCAGATATCACAGTAGAAACCATGCAGTCAAAAAGGCAATGAGGAGAAATATATAAAATCCTAATAGAAAAAAAACAAAACAAAAAACTGTCAACCAAGAATTCTTTATCTAGCAAAGCTATCAATCAAATACTATGACATAATCAAAACATTCCAGGATAAACAGAAGCTAAGGGACTTTTCCAAAGCCAACCTGTGCTACATAACATCCTAAAGGGAGTTCTGTGGCCTGAGAACCAACAAGAACAGACAACAACCAGAGACTGACATATGTGGCAGCACCTCCCAGAACTAAATGGAAGAGTTGAGGACAGAAAAAAACTATAAGAACAAACTCATAGAATCTGTGAGGTCAGTCTATGATCAAAACAATTACAATGTGGAAGAAGGTAAACATGTAGGAACAGAGATCAAGATAGTGAGAAGGTCAGGTAGATTACAGAATAAGATACATTGCACTAAATGGAGAGAAAAGTTAATGGAAAATAAGATAACCTCAAAGAAAATAAACACTTCACAACAAACCAAGAAAATGAAAATCCAAGAAGACCATGGAAACATTAAAACTATGAGGAAACTCACAAAAACCATGAATTCAGCACAAGAAGACATGCAGAACAAAGAAAGCAGCAACACCACAAAAAACAAACAAACATAATGGCAGCAA